CTCTGCAGGACTCTGCAATGAGCCACTCTCCATAACCGAGTCTGGTCTGAGATGAGTGTGTGAGGCAAAGAGAACCTCCTGAATCTTTCAGTTCATGTATGTGAGTCGTGAACACTCTTGTAGTGTTTCTTTGCAACCCTTGGCCCTGTAAAGAAATGTTCTCTTTGTTTCCTATCTTTCAGTGCTTACTTACTTTGCAAAGCTGATGGAGGCTTGAGAGCTCCAGGGACACTGGTAAAATTCTGCCTAGCACACAGCCTCCTGGGCTGAGCTATGAGGATTCTGGAGTTGCGAGGAGTTTAGGTCAAGGGCATTGTGGCAGCACTTGACTTGAGTACAAGCTAAGATAGCCTACTGAAGTTGGTGTTCCTTGGGGAATAAGCTAGACTTACTAAACAAATCAAATCATCCAAGTCACATTATAGGATAAGAAAGCAATAGAGCCTTCATCCTCAAAAAGGTGATTTCATTTTAATCCCCAATCTCTGGAGTTTTAGTTCTATAAACTTTCCATTATTGACAATCTTTTCACATTGTAATGAGGACTCTAGACATGTGTTATCATCTGTGATTGTAACAGTCTCTCCTGAACCAGAGTTTGGTGGCTGTCATGTGAAGCCAAGGCCAAGTCTTTTTTCTGAGGGTCTCTGTGAACATAGAATGTGTGTGTGTGTGTGTGTGTGTGTGTGTGTGTGTGTGTGTGATGAAAATCAAGACAATTTACATTTGTGAAATGTGAAAGTTCAAGGAAGGTCAAATCGGTGTGAAAAATTGTGCTAAAATTCCCCCCAAGATTTGTATCCGAAACAAAGCTGCTCATTCACAGTGAAGTTGTCAATGGTGGGAGCAGTGGTGGACCATTTACCCAGCATGCTCTGCTTGACCATCAGTGCAAGGGAAACTGCTAGCAGTGCCCCACCGGGGAAGGAGCACGCACAGCAGCAAGTGCAGCCCCTTGTTTATTTTTCACAATGCAGTTTCATTATATGTACTTTATTTACATTACAATTCAGGAAATTAAGGATTCAAGAGGTTAGATAACTTACCTAAGTTGGAAAAAGAATAATTAAAAGGCAGAATCGGGATAAAATTGGAATGCTAACTGAACATGAACACAAAACACAGCAGTCACACCAAAGTTAATAGATTTGTTCTGAGTCCGAATGAGTGACTGTGGCTAGGAACATGCACTCTCATGCCCCAAATACCATGTTCTAACATAGATGTGTTTGTGGAAACTTTTATAGTCACTGGACAATAGAAAGTTAGAGACAAGCGTGTAACAAACGTTGGTGGCTACACAGGTACACAGCACAGCAGAGGGGAAACTGTCACAGGTCTCAACTGTTACCTGATGATTTTCTGGACTTTGAGGTTGGTGAAAGCTACTGGCCTATTAAATTAGTACATTCCAGATGTTTACCTGATAATTGAAAGGATGTTAGGTCAGATATGGAGGATAGGTACTGAGTGTGTATTAAAGGAATTACAATAATCCAAGATAATTTGGCTCTGTCTTCATAATATTCCCAAATCTCCACAATCAGAAGGGTCTAACCAGTCCAACAGTAGTGTGGAATCTTTAACTTAGATGTAGCAATTTTTTTCTTCTGGGAATTCAGTTCTTCATAGTAACTATGAGACCTCACCCTTTAAGGATTTCCTATACCATTGAAATAACTTTTCCCAGTTTGAAAACACCAACATGTGGCAGATATTGCTATAAATTTTGTTAAAACTAAATTTTTATTTCATTTTATTTATCTAGTGTATGTTTATGTGTACATACAGGTGCTTGTATGCTCAGCATGCATGTGGGGGAGTCCACACAAAAACAGCTCTTACCTCAAAACGGGTATGAGCTAGCTTATTCTGGAGCTACATAAGAGTGACCATGTCCCAGGGACACTGCTTTTAGTTAGTTGCTCCAAATTCCATGTTCCATTATGATAATAAAGTTTTTAGAGTAACAGAAGAAAGAATCATAAATCGGGGCTGGAGAGATGACTCAGCAGTTAAGAACACTGGCTGTTCTACAGACGACCTGGATTTGGTTCCCAGCACCCATATGGCAGCCAACAACTGTCTGTAACTCCAGTTCCAAGGGATCTAATGCCCTCTTCTGACCTCCATGGGCAGTGCATGACATGGGTGCACTTATACACATGCAGGCATAACATTCATACATATAAAATAGAAATAATTTTTTTAAAAGAAATCATAAATTAACACACTTCAAATACATTGGTAGAAATATTAGGTAGGTGAGTCACTCTGCTATCTGACAGGAGCTATCTGACAGCACTCTTTGGTGGGTTGGAAACTAAAGGTCTGTTTGTATAACCCAGTGGTCCCATAGATGTAGGTCACATACAGAGTAAAGCACTAAAGATGCCCGAGATCATTTGACCCTGGACTTGTAGCACTCCAGCCTCTCCCCAGCATGGGTGTTCTAATCCGGCTCCTTGAAGGAAGTTCGATGGAAGGTAAGCTTCTATTCAGGAACTTTCATTCACAAAGGTCAAAGTATACAGTTGGTTTTCTCCTTCTACGATGGGTCCCAGGGACTGAACTCTGGTCATTGGGCTTGGTGGCAGGCACCTTTGCCCATGGATTCATTTAACCAGCTTAATTGCTGTATAACCTTGATGATGCACATTGAAAAGATAACTGTTGAGGCTGGATAGATGGCTCAGTGGTTAAGAACACTGAGTGTTCTTGCAGAAGACCCAGGTTCGAATCCCAGCACCCACGTGGCAGCTAACAACTGTCTGTAACTCCAGTAACAGGGGATCCAACAGCCTCTTCTGTCCTCAGCAGGCATTGCATGACGGGGGTGCACTTACCTACATGCAGGCAATACACGCATACACATAAAATAAAAATAATAAATAAAATATTTTTAAAAAAGAAAAGAAAACTGTTGTCCATGAACCCCAAATCTCTTCCTTCAGTGTTCACCATTACATCCATATGCTAAGCTCAAAAGAAACCCCACCCTTTCTTGCTTTTGCTTTGGAGTTCACAGTAGTTAAATAGTTTTTTGCATTAGTAGAGGCCTGGTCCCCACCCCAACATTGTTTCCTGACCTATGACATCCTTAATTTCATGGAAAACTGAAGAACCCAGGAAGAAGACCAGCACAGTTGGGTACCCCCAAACCACTGTCCATCAACCTCTTGTTCCCAGGGTTCTTCTCCTTCTTATAGATGGACACTTATTTACTGCATATGTTTTAAGGAAAGAAAATCTGGTCTCCCTTGAAAAGCAGTGTCCACTCATAACTACAGTGTGAACTGAAGCTCTTAGCCGCCTGCTGAGACCTTAGTGATCGGGGAAGCCTGGGATGTTGCAGATCCACAGCCAAAACCATCTTGGATGATTGTTAGCCCTGGTAATAGCATACATTACCGGGCTCCTGTCTGACCTAATACCCTTGTGAGTTGATTCAGATACAACCTTGAGAATGTATTCACTTAACAGACCACTAGCTTCTACCCACCCAGAGGCTCAGAATGTCATCAGGTAACATCTGAGATGCAGAGCAGAGATGTCCCTGCCTTGCTGTGGCCTGCCTATATGCTGTCCCCGCCAATGTATTTTCAAATGCTTGATTTATGGCTTTCTTTTGTTCAATGGCTGCAAAAGTTCGCGTATGATTTCCACATTGAAATACGGAATTTGAGGTAACCTGAATCTGTGTTCCGGGGCCTAGGGACTCAGAATAAACTCTCATTCCCTTTGTACTGAGGGCTGTGTTTTGCAACCACAACAGGCCTCTGTGAACCGAATGCATTTCTAGTATGGGCAGCTGGGAGCACTTTATTCAGTTGAAGAATATTTCCACCTCTGTGAAAACAAACCACAAGGGCCTACTATTGCTAATTAAAGCCTTTCTTTGAGGCTTCTCAAGGTCCCTAGATTTAGAGGTTTGCTCTTTTTAGCAGCACCCTGGAGAATAGAACGTTTTTCTATTTTAAAATTCCAATAGCCTTTGAAGTTCTTAACTGGGTGCCTTGATGCTAATGCTCTGAGTTTATAGAACCTTTCAAGTATAAGTGCTTTACAAGGGATAGGAGTCCTTGGCTCTCTCAACAAAGACCAGCGTCTCTCTCTAGAGCTGCTGAGATTTAAATAGGCAGGAGGCAGCTTGAAATTGACCCTGGAGGCCAAGGATGTGATCTCATTCCCACTGAGAAATGTCCAGGGAGTGGCAAGGACCCAAAGAGGGCAGGAATCTCAGCACTACCTGCCTTTCCATAGGCTGTTAAGGGGCTCCCCAGGGCCCTCCTGGGGCAGTGGTCTTTGATCAGACAAAGACAAGGAATTCATTCATGCACTTGCTCTTCTTACCTGGGACTGCATCGCAGCACCTTGCCTGGCTTCAGACCTTCCTGATCTGAGGAATCTGACCCAGTCAAGAGTATAAGGAAAATTCGCTGCAGGCAGAAGTTGTAACACATTTGGGTTATATTCCTTTACCCAATATCTTCAAGCACAGTGTGGCCTTTTCTTTCTCTCCTGTCTCACCTTCCTCTGTCTCTGCAAGGATGCCCTAATTTGTCTGCAGACAGCAGGTGAAAATTTGTGTGTAAAGGGAATCGGTTGATACCTGTTTCTAGCAGTGAAGAGCACTGACTGCTCTTGCAGAGGACTCGGGTTCAATTCCCAGCACCCACATGGCGGCTACGAACCGTCCTGAACTCTTCACGTAACTTTTATTCATGAATAGGCTCTATCATCTTGCACCTATACATAATTACATATAATATAAACAGCAGAGGTGTGCATGTGAATCTTCACTGTGTCTTTTGAACTATTAATATTATTTTCACTTAATTTTAGTTCTTCGTACAGAAGATTCAAAACCCTTTTTCTTGGTGCAGAAGATGTGTAAGAAAATACATTTTAGAACTTATAGTACCAAGATTCCCTTCTCAAATAAAAGGTAATAGTAAAAGATGAATTTTGTAATCATGTGTAACATATTTTTTTTTCAGCTCTGAGGAAGCCTTCAGTAAAGCCAATTTAAATTACCGCACAGAAAACGGGCTCTCTCTGCTGCACCTGTGCTGCGTCTGCGGAGGTGAGTGCCCAGCACCTCCACCCAGCAAGCAGGATGTGTGCTCACAGGATCTATGATTCTTGTCTAGTGGTCAGCAAGAGAACTCTATTCAAACTCAGCCTTCTCCTTTCCTTCTCTCCCTGGAAATCTGGACCTCTGACAGGAGCAGAGCCCAGGCAGATCCCCTCTTTGCCTGGGCGCTGAATTTGTGTTCCTCTCATCAACCTAGAAACTTAACAGTGTTCAGAAATTTAAGTAGTGCTTTTCAGTGCTGGGTGAGCCAATCAGGAATTAGGTTTAGTTTAGTTGCACTTAAAGCGTTCCCTGAGATGTGATCAAGCAGTAACTTAACATGGGCAGCAAGATTATGTGGAGCAGAAAAGCTAAAACTAAAACTGAGAAGTGATGAGGAGGGTGTCTCATTTTTCTGGCACTCTACTTGTTGAGTTATCCCACGTGCTTATCAGGAGCCTGGCACAAAGTAGCAATTCAATAATGTATTGAATTATCAAACAAAAATTTAATATCTGATATGTTGATCAAAATGAGCAAAGCTTTTTGGATATAACAAAGGTGTTAGATTCATGAGTGTTATGACGGCAGTTCCCAGCACGTTCTGACCTACTCCTAACAGAGTGGGCAACTCTGCTTAATAGCTGGTTCTTCCTAAGGTCAGCACACCTGTCTACCCTTGACCGTGCCCTCCTCCACACCTGCCTCCTCTGAATACACTCCACTGCTGGTGACTCTCTGCCAGAGCCCAGCAACTAGAAGGTCATCCCACTTTTCCACTAACGACTTAATACGATGAATTCATTTCTGATTCGTGGGATTCTGTTTTTTGTTCTACTTTGCCCTCTTGAGACAAGGTCTTACTCCATAGCCCAGGCTGGCCTCAAACTTGTGCGGTCCTGCTCAACCTCCGAAGTGCTCAGCATATGTATATCAGCCACCATGCCAACTTAATTTCATGATGATGAAAGCATTAAACAGAATGTGTAAGCTGAGTGCATCAGTACACTGTACTATAGAGTACTTTGTGTGATTAAAAAATATGGACTTGAAGTGACACTGTCAGTTAATAGAAAAACTTAGGAATGGCTGGACCAGCGGGTCGACATTTTCATCTGTCAGAATGGCATTTTTCCTGAAGTCAAAAAATGACAAAGTCACTTAGTCTACTTCCGCAATGATTTAGCCTTTATATTTCTTTCTAAGGCAACAAGTCACATATCCGTGCCCTTATGTTAAAAGGGCTGCGTCCGTCGAGACTGACACGAAGTGGATTTCCAGCGTTGCACCTGGCAGTTTACAAGGTACGATATTTCATTCCCATAAGTATGTCATTAGACCAAGGACAGTGCAGGTCTTCACACTTTCTTTGGGGTTGGCAGGGACAGAAGGAAATGCATAATCCATCAACATTTTAGAATGAGGAAAAATTTAATGCACATTTAATGCACATTTTTTTGAGCAAGTATTTTCTTTGGTGTGTTTGTGTTGTGTAGGTGTACATATGTGTGGGGGCAGCGGGGGTGATATGGAGGCCAGAGGACAGCTGTGTGTGTGTGTGTGTGTGTGTGTGTGTGTGTGTGTGCACGCTGTAGTTAGCTTCAGCTGTTAACATGACACAAACCTCAAGTCACCTCAGAGGAGGAAACCTCAGCTGAAGAATTGCGGCAGATCCAGTTGGCTTCTGGGCATGTCTGGGAGGCACTTTCTTGAATGCTGACTGATGCCAGGTGGTGCCGTCCTGGGGCAGGTGGATCTGGGCTGTAGAAGGAAGGTAACTGAGCAAGCCTGGGAAGTAAGCTAGTGAGCAGTTTCCTGCGTGGTCTCTGTTTCAAGGTCCTGCCTTGAGTTCCCACCGCGGCGTCCCTCAATGATGGATAGTAAAGTGTAATGTGAAATGAGCCCTGCCAAGTTGCTTTTGGTCAGTGTTTTATCACAGCAACAGAAACCAAACTAAAAGATTGTTTCTCCTCAGGAGTCGTCCACCAGGCTGACTGGCCAGGATGTTCCTGTGTTCACCACCAGGCACTGAGATTACAAGTGCTGTACTGACCTGTTTTCTCTTTTTACACGGATTCTGGAGATGCAACCTAGATCTTTATGCTTTCAAATCAAGCACCTTACTAAGCAATTTCCCCAAACTAGGGCAAGTATCTTCTACCTGCTAGACACACACTATTTTTAAGGCTTTTTATGTTGGATTCATTTAAGTCTCAGAAAAATCCTGGTAAAGAAATATAATTACTACTCCCAAGATTACAGGACTAGCCAGTAGTACAGATGAAGGCCTTAGCTTCTCAAGCAGAACTCCTCAGCAGGACATCACGCTGCCCCTATGAGCAGATGAAGTCCTTTTTGAGGACATTGAAGCCGTGTTGTTCCTGGAATTTTCCTTAACAAATAATCCCTAAGCTATCTGTGGTTTAGTTGATTTCTATTTTTGGCTTCATTTATTTCCTCTCCCTGAGTCCTGATTTCAACTTAACATCATCTAAATAGAAGAACTGACATAAACATAGATTGGGAAAATTGGTGTTGGAATTGACACTCAAGATTGTCAAAAACATAAATTTATATAATATGTAAGTTGTATATGAATCACTCTCTAGTCATAACAGCTTCCACGTTCTCTATTTACTATGATTAAATTTCATACTGAGTTGGACATACATTATATACTTAACTATTTCATAAGACACATCATAGTCTTTGTTTTATAAAGAAGGAAATTAAAGATTAGAATTAGATTATCTAATAAAAAAACGTGATTCAAGTCGAGCTCAGTTGTCTCTAGACTGGATTCTCATTGTTAAGCCTCATCTTTGGTCTTTCTCAATTTCACCTGAGTCTGTGATGGGATTTTTATTTCAGTTTTGTATGCAGGTATGGGAGGAGGCTTGCTTCTACAGATATCTCTCCCCTCAAACTCCCAAGAGTTACATTGTAGCAAAAGAAGGTCACAGTTTCACATTGTCTGTTCTAGTTGCCTTAAATTGAGACAAAATATCTGATCAGTATCAACTTGGGGAGGAAAGGGTTTATTCAGCTTACATCTCCCAGGTCACAGTTCATCAGGGAGCCCAAGGTAGGAACTCAGGGAAGGTACCTGATGCACAGGCCATGGAGGAACGCTGCTTACTGACTTGCTCCCCTGGCCCATATTCAGCCTGCTTTTTTATACAACACAGGGAAAACTGCCCAGGTGTGGCACTGCCTACAGTGGGCTAGGCCCTCCCACATCACTCAACAGTCAAGAAGATGCCCCACAGACTTGGCCACAGGCCGGTCCTATGGAGGCAATTCTCCAATTGGGGCTCCCTCAACCCAGGTGTGTCAAGTTGACACTAAAGCTGTCCAGTACGTTATTCTTAGTTCTTTTTCTGTTGCTGTGATAAAATATCAAGGCAAAAAGGACCAGGCACCGTAACCCAAACCTTTAATCCCAGCACTCAGGAGGCAAAGGCAGGAAGATCTCTATGAGCTCTAGGCCAGCCTGGTCTATGTAGTGGTTTCTAGGCATGCTGGGGCTACAGGGAGACCCTGTCTTAAAAACAACAAAAAACAACCTAAGTGCCTAATGTTCAGTTATCTTAATACCCCCTCCTGATTCTGCTAAACTCAAACTCAGGCCAGGTTCAGGATGATATCTGATGGGGATTTCTCTTCAAGGGCAGGGAGAGAAAATCAATACACTGCAAGGGATTCAAAGCTGATAGACAAGGTAGCTTGTGAAACCTCGGACTCTGGGCCTGTCTGAAGATTCTTTCCCTGCTGATCACCATGCTGAGATGCAGCACGGCACCAGCACACAGAGGTTTCTCAGTGATGAAATACTGAAGACTTTACTGAAAATGTTCAATTTTTAGAGTTCTTTGGCTCTGTTCCTTATACTTTACATAAGAGTGTGACTATAACTTTTTCAAAGAAGGTAGAAATGAATTTAGATTCTTAGGAAACAGAGTAGGCAAACATCCCTTATAGGCCTTCATAGAATGCCTGATTCCTTTACATAGCTAAAAAACAAGGCAAAGTCATCTTTGCACTTTAAACACAAAACTAATGTAAATTCCCCCATTCATCTCCACTCCTTAGTCTGGTGATGAACATTTGACTGACATATGCAGGAAGATTATAATTTGTTTGGGACTCTAAGTCCCTTCTCCATAAATCTCTAAATAAAGTCTCATTTTAGTTCTATCAGAAAAGTTTAAAAATATTAAAGACGGTACATGCAACTCCTTCGGATACTTTCTTTGCATTCACTCATTTTGGCCTTCTGTCTCACTTCCACTGTGACTTTGTGCTTCTGAGTCGTTTGAAAGTAAATTGAAGTCAGTGGATCACACTGTTAGTCCTGAGGAATTTAGTCTTTATTTCACAGGAACAAGGCAACTTCCATGTATGATTCCAATGTAATTATAAAACCAGAAAATGTGAGATCTATGTATATCAAATTCAGATTTGACAATTTCTGTTTTGTGGGAGAGCAGGTGCCTAGGATTACCTTCACAATCATGCCTTTGTTTCAGAGTCTCACTATGCATTCCAAGCTGCTGGATTGCTGAGTCACAGTCTTCCTGCCTTGGTTTCCCAGGCACTGGGAGAATAGGTATGCACTACCACACTGAGGTCCAGAATCATGTATTTTTGTTGTTCTTATCTGTAACTGCCTTCAAAGCAAGAGCTACCCAGACTGCCCTTGATTTTCTTGATTTTTTAATTGCCCAATGTGAAAAAAAAATATATATATATATATGGATTTCTAACAATAGTATAATTGATCTTTACTTTGTTGCTAATACTCAAAATGAGAAACAGACTCTCACAGGTTTTGATTGGCCACATCAACAGCTCTTTCAATTATACACACTGGCAACTGTAGGTGCCCAAGGACTAGATAGAAAATTTCATCATGGTGTCCTATCTGCTCTCATTATAATGATGGAAAAGATGTTTGATTTTTACAATGATATCCTATATGATTTACCCTAATGTTAGTTGTTTTCCTATTTTTTTTAAAAAAAAATGTTTTCATTGAATTTTTGTGTATTTATACAGAATATCTCAATCTTAATCATCTTTATACCCCCCGTCCCCCTGGCACCATCCTATGCCCCCCCACTGGAGCCCATATACTCTGTCATCCATATTAAGGCCCACCGTGTCAAGTCAGTGTCCCCAGACATTCCACAGTGCAAGTCCATCCACGGAGGTCTATTCAGCCTATCTAGGAAGATCAGCCCTTCCTCACCTAGCAGTAATCAGTTGCCAATATTTCTTTAGCTAAGACTGGGGTCTGCTGAGATTGGGGTCTGCTGTTATTTCCCCAGTTCTATGCTGAGTTTTCATCTGCCTGAGTTTGCATAGAACTTGTGTATGCTGACACCATTGTCATAGAATCGTATGAGCAGAGTCTCAGGAGCTTGTAGGACTCTGATTCCATATGCTCCTGCACCTCCTCCTCCCTGGTTCTTAGAATCATTCTGCCCCTCTTTCTCAATGTACCCCGAACCCTGGGTGGGTGAAGTTTAATATAGGGGTCCTGTCCAAGGACCAGCACGCTGCAGACTCTTAATCGCTACATTTTGGCCATTTGTGACCTTTAGAGTTCCTGGTCTTCTGTTGCATGAGGGAGCTTCATTAATGAGACTTGAGAGAGTCATTAGTGCCATCTTCATTACCCCTGTTCTGTGGTCTGTGCGCCTGAGTGTAGAGGTTGTATTGCAGATGTGTCTCTTAGGCCTGGGCAATTCATAGACAATGTCTGTTTGTGAATGGTTTTGGTATATGGCAATCGTTTCTGACTGGTGCAAAATAAACTTCTTTGATGAATGGTGACTAGAGTATTTGTCTGTAAATATAAGGATACATATTTTGCATATAGTAAGAAATTACATTAGTGTAGGCGTGTGACAGTCTTGGGGTTTTCTCTAAGATCTATAAACACTCTCCCACTCTAGCCATGTATATTTGGTTATGTTTAAAGTACCACACGTGAGTTTCCTCCCATTGAGTGGGCTTTAAGTCCAATTAGGTAGCTGCTGATTGACCATAAGATAAAAGTGCCACCACTGCACCAATGTCATATGTTGTGCTGGTCACTGATGTGGTTATTTGGTCTTGAAGCTGGTGTTAGACCATCAATTGATGTTTTCCCTTGGCACCTTATATTGCTCTCCAAAGCTATGAGAGCTGCCTTCAGGGAAAGTCACTAGCCCTTCAGGGGAAGTGGTTTCAGGTTAGATCCAGCTCTATTGCTCCAAATTCTGTGTCTGAAGCATGTTCTGTCTTCATCAGTAGGGTC